ATATCGGAATACAAAGTTATGATAAAAACACTGAAAGAAGGTGCAGCTGCCTGTTTAAAACAAGAAATTCCGTTACATAGTCCGTTAAAACAACAAATTCCGTTAGTTTTTCCGTTAAAAACAAGAAATTTCGTTACATAGCCACTTTTAATGTATAGAAGATATATATATATATATTCAATTTGAAATGTGTATGTTATTTGTTGTTCACTAATCACTTACTAAATGTGAAATTTTTTGTTCCTTTTAAGATAATTTTTTGCACTTGCATATGTTGCTTGCTCACTTCCAGCCAATTGAGACTAAACGGACACATCATTGGACAACGCCCCTTCTCCATCACTATTTTCTGCCTTGTGGATACATGATTCACCCAAATCAGAAATGCTAGATGTACTTTGTGGCACATTTGTGTTTGATTACTCATACAAACTCTACGACATAGTAGTGTTTTCAATCTTAGAGTTCTCGGCCAATGTTTGCTTTCTGGGCAACTGCTCAATTTCCACATCAACATCAAAACGAAATAACATGGATGCAAAGCAGTGATCGAAACGTTTCAATGTACAACGTGGCAATATAATACCTGGTTTGAGTTTTGGGGATATGGTCTTCTAATATAATACATGGTTGAACATAGCAAAATATTTAAAATTAACTACGCTGCTCAAAAAAATAGAATCAGCGACCTAATGTTATTCAATATAAATAGACAAAAGAACACCTAGCTTCTCATTCTACACTATTCAATGACCACCCCTTCATCTTCCTATCATGCCGAACGCTACGTGGCACAAGGTTGAAATTCGTATCGTAGACTTTAATAATCTTCTCACAACCATGTTTAAATAGTGAGGAAGGCAAGTTAGATAAGACATGATTGAATCTTTCTACCATTGCATCGATTTTCCCATTTGTAACACACTCAACATACTTTATAGCATACATGGTGTGTTCGGTAGAGATTAAAATTGGATTAAAATTGAAAAACTAGCCGTTATTGTTAACTTTTATTAGATGAGTGAGATCCAAAAACGACTATATTTTCAATTTTAATTGAATTTTAATCACTCTCAAACATGCTCATAGTTTGCAATTGGCAAAGGGTGGGAAAAAATGGTTTATAGCGACTGTGAAATAAACAAGCAAGTTATAAATCCACATTCAACCCCATCACATACAACATATGAATATAAAAGGATGTACGGGAAATACAACTTCATAACAAAAGAGATAGAAAGATCAAATGTTCTGCACTTGCATATATTCTAAAGGTTTATCATCTGTGTTTGGTTATTGGCTTCCATAGGATTAGTTTCATTTTGTGCTATTTCGATTTCTTGAGAGGATTCTAGATGGAGAATAATGAGAATTAATATGAATCAAAGCGAATTAGGGGATTTTGATTGTAAATTTATACCAAGGGGAGTGTTTGATGGAACAAATTCAGCTCATAATTGATTATCTAGTATGACTAATATTCTTATGGAAATGGGCGTTTTTCGGGGAATCAATTCAGCAGTGTTTTGATTTTCTAGTATAAGTGAGGTGATTTCCTCATTTTTTATTTTACTATATTTACTATGATAATTCTAGGATAAAATTAATTACAAAGTAGTTATTGAAATTTTATGTAATACTGGGTAAGGAGTGTGATTTCCACTAAGTTTTAATATTACAATTTGAGCCATATTGTCAATCTATGTAGTCTTGAACCAAGGCCTATTATTAAATATATATTTGGGCCATATAAACAATTTGAGGCACTTAAAAGGTGAGGGAGGCCCTCGGCCATTGCCTTGGTGGCTTTGGTCTAGGACCGGGCTTGACCATACTCGATAGGTTTAATTAAAAAAAGGGAACAATACAAAACTAACATTTTTAAAGATCACATTTCATAAATAACAAACTCATTAAAATATTTCAAAAATCAGATGGTAAATAAATTTATTAAATATTAAAATATA